AAGAGCAATGGAAACATTTATTCCTCTGAAATAAGCAAAAAGGTAAATGTGTTCAGTGTACCAAAAAATGATTAATTTCTTTTGTTTATTTATGTACAATGAAAAGTGTATCTATCATGTTCCTATAATAAAATCATTTTGCAATTTAATTCCAATTTTTGTGTAAGTTGAACCAAATAACCATTTGTATCTTAATGAGTAAACTTCATAATATAATGAATATCTGCTAATAATCCATATCAAATCACTTAGAATTACTGCACTGCAGGATTAACAACATGAAGAGTAATACAACTCCACTTTCAAGGACTTCAAATGTATTTTTTCAGGTCACAGTGTTTCAGTAATTTATACTGGAATAGTATTTGGTAAAATTTGATTTGCCATTTATCCAAAAAGACTGCTCTCAGTAAGAGGCTTTAGTTACTACATTACATTTTTATCTTATACTTTTTTGCCCTTTTTTTTTCTAATTGTATAATTTATGTATAATGAAGAATAAAATTTTAATAAATTAATCCCCTACACGTTTTTTTTTTAAACAGCAGCTAACAACTGTATGCACTATAACTAATTCCTTGTAGAACTGGGTATCTTCCATCTCCTTTACCTTCAAAGTAAAGATCATAAATTTTTGCCACAAGTGAACTCATCAATAGCTGTATTAAACCAGTTGAGGTTAATTGTTACAGGTTTGAAGGTAACAGTCAAGGTTCACATAAAATATTTAACACTTAAGTAGTCTTCTCGCTTTCAACTGCTTCATCATATATGGAAAAGCCTCCAAAATATAAACCACAACTAATTACAACATTCTGAATTACTATTTTGTCCCATGTAAGACACATGGGACTACTCTACTTCAGCCATCCAGATAAACTGGGATAAGACATTACCAAAAGTAAAACACAGGGTTTCAGTTCAGACTTCTTTGAAAATAGAATCAATAAAGGATATTATTAGACTATATACAATCTAAAAAACACTTGCTCACAAATCATGAAGTAGTGTCAATAGCAAATATGACTTTTTTGAAAGAATCAATCATGATGCAGTGCCATTGGTAGAGCATGATAAAGACATGGAGACCTCAAGTTGTATCTTTAAATTTAAGCTCTTATGCAAGATCAAGAAACTTCTTCATGATTACCACAATAAATATGCTACACATACAATATTTTTTCTATTTAACTATTCCACTCCAAATTTTCTGTTTATAACCCTCAAACAGATGCACCACAATCTCTTTATATTCCAGCAGACATCTTAACAGTCACAACTATTTTAAATATTCACTTTCTCTTACAAGAGCCTGCTATCACAGTCTAAAGAGTAGCAGACATGTAAACGTATCCCAGTGAAAAAATGCAAGTGTCCATTTCTGTAGCTGCCACAATATTATATAGACTCAATGGAGCCACCTACAAACACTGGTAGCTTTCCCTCAGAAATTACTTTTCATTCTAAATTTTGAAAACAGATACCCACTACTGATCTTTTGAATATACCATTTTATTAAGAAACAGAAGAGACACTGAAGCTATCATAAAATGAGCAAAGGTTTGAAATACTAAGAGAGCAGTCAACTGTCAAAGATTTGCCCACCAAAACCTTCATAATCATTTAAGCTAACTGAAGAAACTTATTTGTCTGGCAAAATGGCCATATTTTTTTGGCAATATAATAGTTTTTACTCTCTGCCAACTAGTTTAAATGGCAGATTTAAAAGAAAAAAAAATTATGCAGTTCACTAAGCCAGAAAACAGCTTTTCAGTAAATTATTTAGGAAAGAATAAATGCTATTGTTACTTGTGTTATTAGCATTGCCCTGTGTATACATTGTAGCTGATGTTAAAATTTATTCCATAGTTAGATAATTCCATTAGCTAATTAAATTCAGTTGTGAACTTATTAACCAATATTTCTCTGACCATTTAGCTAAAGTATTTTGAATGACAGCCTATTAAATGTTAGCAGAGTTTCCAATGTACTACAGCTAGCAAAATTAAATTAATGGAGTATCTTCCATTTATACAGACTCTCCTCAACAAGAACTCCTAATTCATTTTGAATACGTAAATAAAAATAGCATAACCATAATAATTTCTATTCAGCAGTAATAGTTACTGCATGGACTTATTTTGTATTGTACCAGGCATCTCTAATCCCTTTTCAACTGCTCGTGTGAGAAAAGAAATAGAAATCAAAGATTGCAGGAGCGCTCAGAACTTCCCAGGATTATTCTACAGATTCATTTTCAAATCCAGGCCTCACAATGAAGACAGCATTAGACATTAAACATATTTTTTGATTGCTATGCTATTAAAAATGTTTTTAATTGACTTATTGTTGTGTAGACATAGTTCATACATACAAGTTACACAGAACTGCCTGGGCTTTCTCAGTTGCTATGCAGAATTTGTTCAGAGCTTGTTTTACTCTAGAAAACATAGTAAGAAATCAGAAGATAACACTAACCCTCATTACACCAAAATACAAGGGTCATACACATTTCTGTATCTATACATACATATATATACATATACACATCTATATATACACATTATATATATCTATATATATATATATCTATATATATATCTATATATCTCACCACACACCTACAATGGATCATCTCTTTGCGAGCTTATTGTATGTGTCACTCATTAAAGGCATCCTTGAAGTTCACAATTTCAGTTTCCTACACCATCCACATTCCAATTTTCACAATTAAACCATCTTTGACAGCACTTTCACCAACTCAAGAGTTAAAAGCGCACAGAGAAGTGAACAAAATCCCTGAAATACAAATTCTATCCTATTATCATTCATACCAAATTACTACACGTCTCTCTCAGCAGACTTGTGTAATGTGTCAAGCTTTTGAAAGATACAAACTCATTTTTCTGTCAGGTAAAAAAAAAAAGGTATGTTCTTTAAATCCTGATATTTACTTGTACATTCCACATAGAACAAGAATGAATATATTTTAGTGATCAAAATGTTAGTGCTTAGAAGTCAACAGCAGCAGTTTCAGTTCAGGAAAATCCTCCAATTTTCTTCTATTACATTGAATTCTGCATTTTTTAACAATGCTTGAAACATGTTGAGACAAAAGCTCATAGTGAGTTCTCAGCTGTTTACCGAAATATCTACAGTCACTGAAGCAAAACTGAGTTGCCCAATATCTGAATATACTCTTAAGTTCTAGCATTCCTAGCAAGTTCATTTGTATGATCATAAGAAAATTTAAATTTTGTATGGATTTATAAAATACAGAGCAAGATGACTAAGAAGTTCTAAGTTATCTAATCAATATTTCAGACAATGAGAGAAAAAAATGGAGAAACAAAAGTCAATGTCACATAAAAACGAAAAGAGATATATGAACACGACAAAAGAGGCCTTTTCGTGTTCATACCGCATGATGCACTTCAAATGCAAAATTCATAGTAAAAAAATCCACTATGGGAAAACACAGCCTGTGTGACAAAGTACAAATGAATGCAAGAATACTTCAATTTGTATTAGGAAGTCAAACTCTACTGATGATACATGTAAAAGTTTAGTTATTTATTTTTCACACAGCAGAATTAGCCTTTGACTTCAAAAGATAAAACAAAAATCCAACAAATAAAACTAAGTACTTTCCTCCTCTCTTAGAAATTTATCTAAATTAAACCTGTATTTGTAAGCCAGGTACCTAAATGTATAAAGTACTCAATTTGACAGCTGTCTATACAAGCACATGCAGTGCATCAGTACATGGAAATATATTACTGGATCAGGTTGGACAGGGCTCTGAGCAACCTGATCCAATTGAAGATGTCCCTGGTCATTGCCGGGGACTTGAACTAGATGACCTTCAAAGGTTCCTTCCAATCCAAGCCTTTCTACGATTCTATGATAAAGACAGATCATGGCATGAAAGGAAGTAGAAGGAATATTTAACTTCCCTTTTACCTAGCAATTACTGCCCACAGACATTAATGGATATTTGCAGTTGATTACTTCACCAAAGGCCTTTATGTCCTATCTGAAATGGTAGACAACCTTGATCCCTCCCTGACAAGTATGACCAATCTCTACTTTCTTCATAGGATCCCAGTATGTTTTAATGTGTAGACCAGGTGTTACAATGTGGGACTGTTTTTGTCTGTCGTTACATGTTTTTAATTTTTATAATTGCATGCACTTTATCACAGGACAAGGAAAACAAAGTACTAAAGAAACCATATCGCCACAGTGTCTCTACCACCCCAAAAAAGCACACTGCCTTACACTCAAATGTTATTTAAATATGGTATCAAGATAAAGCTGTTCTTCAGTTTCATCCTTGGTTGGCCTGGGTGAAGGTTAAATTCCTGAAAGGTATCTAGACTTGATGCAACCTTTCTACTTTAGGTCTTCCTTATTTCTCTCAAGACTCTCCTACCTCAGTCTATGTTTCCCCAGAATTCTTCCTAGCAGAAGGAAAAGTAGAAGTTTTATCTATGTCTTTACCTTCTGCACTGCATTCACACACACACAACTTCAAATTACTCAAGTGGCCCAGCACATTTGAAGAGAGACCAAACAGAATCATTTTAATGACATTTTGTACAAGCTCCTGTAATGATCCTTCTCTTATTTCTTTTAATGTTTTCTTTTTCCTTAGATTACTGGGTTTTGTTCTTTAATTGAAGGTCCTCTATTGCAGGATATTGTACAGCAAGTTTAAAACTACTAAATAACCTTCCTTTCCCAGATGGCCTTTCCAGTGTCTACAGTGATAATCCACGAAACTGCCAAAGTCTGTGGATTAACAAAAAATAAGCCCCTGAATATGCTCCCAAATTGTACAAGCTAGCTCTGAAAGCAATCTCAATACTATATATAAATAAACAAATAACTCAGTCTTCTGTTTGCATCCCTTCTGTGCCACACCAAGGAAGCACCAAGGAGTGGACCATGCTCATCCCTCTACAAAGAAGACAGGAAGAAAAATCACTTCCACTTACTTGGTGTTAATTCAGGGTTTCCTTTTAAATTCATCATTTTTGGAATTGAAGGTCCATATATGTCTGCATCAAGTAAACCAACTTCTTTTGTCTGTGTAAGGAACAAAAAAAAAAAAAGGAATTGTCAAAACATGTCTTCCTTTTTGAATTATTAGCTGAGCAAAATTCAAAACTGTCCATAGAAATAAAAATAGGATCTTGATTTAGACATCGGTTATCATTGTTTCCTTTCTCTCTAAATTGCAGTTGAAGAATGAAACATAACAATGTCTACAAGTTGGGTAAGACATCTTTATAAAATCTAGATTCTCCAATACACAGAATCCTCACTTGCACATTTTCTTATTTACATAATTTAGACCACAGACTTTATATTACCAAACATTATGAACAATGTTCTCTCTACTCCACGTACATTTATACGGAAATAATATTTTAACTTTTGAAAAAAGGTACCAAATTTTATTGTAAAAAAAAAAAAAAACCAACAAATTAGGTTTGTAAATATATTCAACTTTATGCAATTTAAATTACACCAGTGACCATAATGAATGTGAAAAACATAAAAAACATTTTTTTCTTCCACTTAAGTGGCCAGAGTAAACTTTTGCAGACATTCTGAAGTTACTGAAATGCAAGTCTCTGAAGTTAATTAAGCAGGCATAACATTTTAATCAAATATATTTACACAAAAGTATGCTAAAAATGGGTTTATTCAGCTACACATGGTACATCAGGCAATAAACTTTAAATAAAAATTATTTCAACTATGTAGTCTAGACTTAGAAGAGTTTTTTCTATATTCATTTTTATAGATATACATACATATATTGGGGAAATTAAAACTATTTTTCCTACAGATGGCAAGACACACTATGAATTACCAAGTTCTGCAAATTAAGTAGTAAAGAGCAAGCCCTTTAAAGTGCTGAATGTCAAGTTTCTCTAATATAAAAAGCTAACTGTATTCAACATTTTGCAAAATTGCAAACAAGTATGTTTAAAAGGTTAAGGCAGCAATAGGAGCTTTTCCAACACTGCTAAATCAGACTTCCCCTGTCAGTGTTTCAAAATGTGGGCTTCACTTTTTGGATGATGCTTTCCTAATTTGGTATCTTATATTAAGCCATTTTGTTATCACAGTTTTGATGGGAAAGACAGAAAGATAAAGGCTCAGTGATAACTATTGAGTTTCTGGTTAGAAGAGGAGTGCAACAAGGCTTTTAATGCAAGTATACAGCATCTTTATCCTTGAATGGAACTTCTAAACATGAAGTACATTCTGTGGCATCACAATCAGTTTGTTTACTGCAGTTTTTTAAACGAGAAATGTACCTGGATTAAAAACTTGAGTATTGAGGCCCCTGCTACTAAATAAATCTGAATTTCAATTAAGATAAGGAAACTAACTCATAGAAGACCAGACAACTGAGAAGCAAGATTGACACTTGTTAGTACAACATATCATAGAATCATAAAATCATTTAGGTTATAAAAGACCTCCAAGATCATCAAGTCCAACCATTAACCTATATGTAATAATTTGAGTTTCTAGGCATTGTTCTTCTGTAGAGGTTGCTTTCTTTTTCCTTCTCTTTTTTAAAGCTGTTGATATTGAATCCTGAAGACACCCTTAACAGCTCAACAATTTGCAGTGTTAAATTTACCTATTATAAGACAAATGTATCTTAAATTTTACAACTAAGATGTGAAAAAAAAAAAGTATTAACGTATTTTATCTACTATGTACTTTGAAAAATAAGTTTTTACTACAAAAATCAACCAAATTTGGGTTCAGTTGTTCAATGTACTTTTTATTAAACAGAGCAAAGCACATGTAATTATATGGATTATTTAATTTAGATTTTTTTAAACATTTTTTTCTTTATAACATCTTGTGAAAACTACTAGAAAAAAGTTCAGGAGTTCCTCTAAGAAATTATTCTACTTCTTTCCTACTGCATGAGAGCTGTGATTTCAAAAACATTGAAAAGACTCGTTTTTATGTTAGACTTCAAAGACATCAACAGAGCATTAGAGTTTCTTTGTTCTTGTACAAAATGCATTATTTTAACAGATTAGAAAGATTCATGACCCAGCCCCTTTATCTGTGTTAGCAGCTAATCCAACCCATCAAAACATCATCTAAGGGCTGTGCCACTTAATTCCTTCCCAACAAAAGTAAATATTTGCTGGAACACCTACAGTCTTTTACACTTGACTGACATACTTTCCCTCAATTTTTTGAGGGTTCTCCCCACCCCCAGCATGGATTGTGACTATGCACTGACTGGCTACAATGATCTCACAACTCACTACAGTTTTATTTTCAGCCTAAAGGGACTGAAGATTTAAGATGATCTAAATTAATTAGACTCATTTTATGACCTCCTGGACATAATCAGGTCTTCACCAGTACAGGCCACTTACTCCTAGGAGTCAGCAGGAAGGTATCTACAAGTGTACAAAATTTCCTGAATAGATATGAGCACACTGGAGAAAAACATCCTTCAATTACCTAGGAAGACTTTCCAAATTCAGCTAGTACTCCAAATTACAAAGCTGATCTTTGTTTCAGGCAAATACAATAAACCTGACAGTTTCTCAAAAAAATGTACACACTTCCTCAGACGTAAGGAAAGTGCCAGTTTCCGAGATGCACTGTTTGTGTTCATGGATATGGTTCAATAAAACTGTTGTCTTCAAACAGAAAAATAATTAACAGATTCTCGAGTTTCTACAACTCACGTTTACAAAACCACAAGTGTTCCTGTAAGCACGGTGCTTTCTACCGGATTATAAGAGAAAGGTCCTTTGGCAAATCTTTAAATCACTGGCAGAACCTCACTAAAGATAGCCTAAGGCAGGGGTTTTTTTCTTCACCAAGCAACTCAACATGTTAGGTAAGAATTCTTACTGCCTAAAAGTAGCAGCTTATACACAAAGCATTGGTCCAATAAGCTGTGGTTTTGAGTTTTGTTTCTCCCAGCTATCCCTCCTTTTGCAGTATCTAAGCATCCCTAGAATACCAATAATAACCCTTTACTCAAGGTTTAACTATCTTGGAAATACATTATGGCAGTTACCAAGGGATCTTTTAAGGCAGGCACAGCACAGTCCAGATCATCTCTTCCAGCATTTACAATGTTTTAAATGCCCAAGAGAAGAAATAATATGCACACACCTGGATGCTACAACATGAAACTGTTCATCAGAATTACCAACACCAGATACTTCTCATGCTGACTGAAATGTAATCCAGATGCATGCTACAATAATTAAAAAATTAAATTAAATTTTAATAAATTGTGTTTCCCCCATATAACTCACACCTCATATAAAACAAGCACATCTTTCAAAGCACTGCTGTATTAAAAAAAATTCTAAAAAACCAGGCATAACATCAGACAAGGTAAAAAAGAACATCTGGGCAGAAGAAACAGACTACAGGGGATCACAAGCCGAACCAAGAAGGCAACTTAAAGTAAAAAGAGGGGGGGGAAAAAGCCCTAAGATTCTTCCTATGCCCTCTGACATCATTTCCATATGCATATACATATCATTCTGACGCTGAATCTTTTTCTTCTTAAGTAATACTAGTTATACAAATAGAAATGCAGTACATAAAGCACATTCAAGCACGCAGAACTCCCCCTGCTTCTAAGTGTTTTTCAGAGCAGTGCATACACCACTGCTACAGCCACCTTTGGCACTCTGCAGGGAAAGGATTCAGGAAATAAAACTCCACTATCTTCTTATGGCTGCATTTTCTCCTTATAAACGTGTTTCTATCCTGTGCTATTAAACAAACAGCGTTCCATCTCTCCAGACGACATAACAATAACCAAGTTCAAAACAGCTGTTCTCAAGTTAACATTTGTCCTTTTCCTTCCACCTGCCCAGCTGTGGATGAAAGTTTGAATCAATCTTCAAGTTAACTACACTTGGAAAATACTTTCTAGAGACCTGTGCATTTTTGTTGCTTTACTGCAAGTTCTAAGCAGCAGTCACAAGCATTGAGGCCATGTTACTGAGAACGCAGCTGTGCTGGGCAGGACACATCTCAAGGCTGAAGAACCACTGCATCCCTAAGATCTTGCTCTATGGTGAACTTGCCACTGGCTGCCGCATGAGAGGAGCCCTGAAGAGAAGATACAAGGACTCCCTGCAACAACATCTTAGCCTTGGCCATATTGATCAACATAACTGGTCTACTCTGGCCTCCAATTGGGAGGTCTGGAGACACACCATCTATAACGCTGCTGCTTCCTTTGAGAACGCACGCAGGATCACTCTTGAGGAGAAAAGGCAACGCAGAAAGAATCGTGTCTTGCAGAATATACCACCTAAGGAGTCTTTCTGCTGTGCCTTTTGCAATCGGACATGTCTATGTCGTATTGGCCTCATTAGCCACCAGCGTGCTTGTAACAAATGTGGATAGAGCCTTTCCCAAATCTTCATTCCCGAAGCCTAGCCATGATGATGACTGCAAGTTCTAAACAGCTTAAATTCTCAAGATACAACTGACTATGTAACCATTCCCATATGATTTAATCATGTAATTCCTGGCCACCGGAAGATACTTTGAAAAAAAACATACAAACTAACACATGCAGAATTATTGTCTTCTTCATGCAGAATAGGAGCCTTATCAAAATCCCATCAGGCAGAGAACACAATATTAAAATTAAATATATTGTCGGCACATGAAAACACAAAAGTACTCTCTTGTTAGCAAAAACTATACTTAAAAACTCAGAAATGTGCACATTTACCTTCTTACTAATGTTTTTAAGATTTCTCTCCTCTCTAGATAAACACTCTCTAGCGTAGGCTAACTACCACTAGGATTTGCTGTTTCTGCAGCACTGGTACTGGCTGCCATGGTCTCATCTGATCACTGGCGAGCTTAAGATCACCAAAAAAATTTACAGAATAAAGGATTGTGATAAGGAACTATAATTCCTCTTCATCTTCTGCTTTTACATCATGGACTACATACTTCTTTCTACTTCACTACCATTTATCTTCTCAGCAAGACATTAATTTCCCCATTAGACCTCTCTAAAGATTTCTGACAAACATTCAGCA